TTATATTAACATTACAGTACAGTGAACAGGGTGTGAGGGCTAATTGAGTGATTAAGTCTTGTTTCCTGGTCTGCTGCATCTGACACAGACAAGAAATTTTAATGTGGCCTACTAATGCTGCACAGACTGCGCATATTGGAAAATCCACTCTTATCTTTATTGTCTGCTCTTTTCCTTGCCAAGCATAGACAGTTTTGCCCAACAATTTGTTTTTGTTTTCTTTTCCAGATTGAATAAACTGATGATACACTGAACACAAATGGCAGCATTTGTTTGTCCACTAGTTGGTTTGCTCAGCAGCTGAGATTGTATCAGTGCTCAACCAATTGCTGCTTCATTTTCTTAAAACAGCTGTAAACTGTTTATTTGTTTTGCAGGATGGCTTTGATTTTAGTTGTACAGCAGAGTGCCAAAATAAGTAAGTGGCTTGTGCATATATGATAATCACATATTTGATTATTGTTGCGATGTTTATCTGGAAAAACCACTCATACATTCTTTTAGGACAAGTTCAATTTTTAATTGTATTTTTGTGGAAGGTGTAAAATTAGTTGTCCTTATGATTTAAGCCAGTGGAAAAGGGGGCATAGATGTCCACATTTTCTAAGTGTTTCACAAGTAGAGAACTACTGAGTGATGAGAAGCCAGATACAGGATCTTGCAGTGGCATTATCAAGTGATTGAGTTTCACAAATAAATTGTATGTAGCTGTTTCTGATATCACAGTTTCTGCCTCTGATTTGTTTTTTGTTTTTATTTTCCTTTTCCATTTTTTATTCTAGACAAAGTGAACAGGGAAACCCATATGTCTCTGCTACAGAAAATGTAGTTGAGCAGTTTCCTGACAACACCACTCAGAATCCTAATGCTACTAAATCTGACATGGATACATCTGGGGGGTTAGCTGTTGGATGCCCTGCTGAAAATGAATCTGACCCAAAAGGATGGATGATCGGCCCATTCTTTAAGTCATTCAGGTCGAAGGTGGCCTGTTTCACAGAGATAGTCATGAGTCCTGTTAAACTCTTCAAAGGTAATAGTCCTTCACCGTCCATGGACTATGCAGACAAACTCAGTGAGATAGAGGCCAATGGAACCTGTGATGTTGAGCACTCAGATCCAAGCAATGTGTTTCATTCAAAAGAACAAAGTGAGGACAGTCATCAGCAGAGACTCAGCAATGAAGAAAGTGCACCTAACACAGAAACTGTTGGTGTTAAATATTCTAAAGAATTGTTTGATGTGGAGTTGTCAACACATATCTCTGAATCTGTGCCTTTGCGACACAGCCCCTCACCCTGCATCGGTTTTGAGAAGATTTCAGAATCTGTTGCATCTGATATTAGGTCCTCTGTCAGTTTAAGTGCCTCACATGAAACCAAGTCAACGATATCCAAAACTATGGAGGAGCAGAACAGCAAACAGTGTACCCAGCTAAAACCTCTACCTAGGAAACGAACAGGAAATAGATCTGAATTTAAGAAGTTTTCCTCTAAGACTCTTAAACCTGAAGTCAAACAGGAAGAGTCTGACCCAGAGGTTAGTGATGAGCAAATCAAATCAAACAAGGCTGATTCAAGTGATACTGACAAAACTCTGTTATCTTCTGTCTGTTACACTCAGCTTGATGCAGACTCTCTCCAGCCTGATGATGATGATGATGATGGCAAGAAAATAGAAAGTTGTAGCGTAGTTCAAAGCCTCCAGAGTACTTTAAATAACAGTGCTAATGAAAGAACACTGATGCTCACTACAGATACTCAGCAGTTTGAGTATTCAGCAGGTTTTGGGGGAGCTAAGAAGGGGCTGGAACTGCAAAGCCATTCCCAAGACTTGGAGAAGAGGACAAAACTGAGAGGAGATATAGGTACAGAGAATGCAGAAAACCAAGAGTTAAATGTGGCGTCAGATAGTGGCTTGTTGAGGGAGCGAAGTTCAGCAAGAAGGAATGTCGTGTTGACAAAAACAGTTGTAGACAGGGAGGAAACACTGGAGCCTGCTAGAAAAAGGCAGGTTGTTTCAACAAGAGCAAATGGGAAAGGAAAATGTAGACATGAAATGCTTCCAGTGATAAATGAAGCAGGGTCAAAGACTCGGACTGAATGTTTCCCTGCTGTTGTGTTGGATCACATACTGGATAAAAGCAGTGGTGTGTCAGAGAATGGCCAAAAAGTCTGCAGTACCAGCAAGACAAAGCCCAGTGGCTCATGCAAACAAGTGAAAATGACGGCAACAGGTCTTGGTAAAAGTGATGCAAGTAACAGTATGGAACTTGAAACCACTGTGGAAGTAATTTCTGTGCAACAAACGGAGCAGGAGCCGTTACCAGAAGCTCTTAATGTAAAGCAGCTCCACAATACAGACAAGTGCAGGAATATTAACAAGAAGCCGCTAAAACGTAAAGCACCTTTTCAGGCAGGTTTGTTGATTGAATCGGACAGCACTTTGGTTTCTACCTCATCAGTAGTATCATTGGAGCTATTAAAACACAAGCCCATAGATTTTAATACCACTCTGCCTGTTCAGAGAAAGGAGAACTCAAAAACAGGGTTCAGCCAAACGTCCAAGAGACGCAATAAGAGCTTTAGAAGTGGCGTTAAATCTTTTGAGTCAGGTGGGGCTCAAGAGACGAAGCAGTGTATCAGTAATCTCTGTGTGATAACTGAAGAAAGCCAGTCTACACGCCCTGTGGACCCTGTTTGTTTTGAAAGAAATCGTGAACCTGTTGTTTCACCCTCCCAACCTCACCTAAACTGTAGTGTACTATTAAATATTGAAGTTAAACATTTCATGGATAAGAAAGAAAAGGATACTGCTTCTTTGTCACATAAAGTGTTTACCAGTGACAATGAAACCAGTAAGCATAGCAGCATCAGTGTCTCTAGGCTAAGATCTGGTGCAAGAAAGGTGCAGCCAAGGTTAACGGATAAGCAAAGGAGAAGGTCCCTAGGTTTGCAAAATAAGAGGCATAAAGTTGAAGAGGCAACAAGCTCTGTCACTATGGAGGATGCACATGTGACGACAGCAAGTGCAAGCTCATCAGAAAATGGCTTTGCAAGGCGCCTGTTGCGCAGCTACTCCTGCCCAGAGATCCCTGCCTTCCATCCCTATGACACAGCCTGGACCGCCTCACCTCATTCAACACATCACAGCTGGACGCGCACGTCACAACAGCATCAGGCTCCCCACACTCCCTATCTCCCCAATGCCAACAGATCCCTCCAGCGTGCTCGTCGCCACACTGTTTGCATTGTGGAGGTAGAGAGAGAGATTGCCCCTCTCTGTCTTCGTAAGGAGGTGTACCCATCCCGAAGAGCTGCTCCGTATGGCAGTGTCGCCAAACAACCGTCTCCTAATTTCGCATTTTCCCTCAGCACTTCCCTCTCAGCCCTTGCCTCATCTTTCCTTTCCAGCCCACTGGCTTTCCTTTCCAAGAAAGCTGACAGCAGAAGTTCTGCTGCCAATCCCAGCACTAACAATCATGTGTCCTCTCCCACCTCCGCCTCCTCACCAACATCCCTGTTGAGCTCCTCCACATGTCACCTTCCAGGATTCCTCCAGAGAATTGACTCCCCTCAGGCTACCTTGGACTCTAGTAGCAGGTAATATGCTTTTTTTATATATATATAATCTGTAGTAAGATATTTCATGATAATTCCGGTGATGTTTAAGTGTGTCAGTGCTGTGCTGATGAATTCTTGGCCTCTTTTCAGTGGGAATCCACTGGCGTGTGAGACCGAGAGGAGACCACAGAGTGAGGAGGAGGATGATTGTGAATGCACAAGCTCTTCCAGTCAGGAGTATGAAGATATTGGACTGAGAGAGGAAAAGGCCCTGTCTGATTCTGAAATCAAGGTATAAATGGACTGTAATAACATCTCACACTACTGGTGTGTCAATATGGTGTTTCTGAACTATTTAGCAGGCTGTCAGTACTTTAGGTTATGATATGTACATGTTAGAGCTGAAACCTGGATTTACACTAAGTTGCTACTTATTTGGTTCATCTGGTAACACTAATACAACACTGCACAAGATCCTACATTCATAAAAATAAGTTGTTGTAAATAAGCTGTTTCAGAGATTTGATGATTAAACTGTGTCTTCATTTGGAGGCTGTAATTTGAGATGCTCTTGAATTGTACTGGTCCAAACCAGTGGTGTTGTCAGGACCAGCTAAATAAGACCAAGACTGGAGTGTATCGAGACTGAGTCAAGACCAGAACAGTGCAGTTAAACTGAATTTGATAGTTTGATAGTACTGTATTTCAGTGGCACTAATGATTGTATATAGGAGTGACAGTATTGAATTTATTTCCCAATAAAAATTCCTCTAAATAATGCAAAGCTTAAGTGAAGTGTACACAAGAGACCAAGACTGGTCTCTTGTATAACAGTACAGGGACCGTCTACAAAAATTAGCAAAAAAAACGTTATGTTTTAGTACAACTAACAGGAGGCCCCTGATGGCTAGAGTTTGACTGTAGGATGACTACACTATATAAGAGTTGTTTAATCTCTCTGGGTTTAATATTTTTGTAGTAGTCTTTTGGTGCACTCTGTAGACGGTGCCTGTAGTGTTGTAGAATGCAAGGTCCGTCTTGGTCTCGAGACAAAGACCGATCTTAAGCTTTTGCATAATTTTTGTTGGGAAATGTATTCAATAATGTCACTCCTATAGTGTCACCGAAACACAGGTACAGTACTATGTATCAAATTCAGTTTAACTGCACTGTCTGGTCTTGGTCTTGGTTTTGTCTTAGTCTTGCCTCGGTCTCAGTACACCCTGGTCTTGTTTAGCTGGTCCTGACTACAGCACTAGTCTACACTTTTGACTGGTAGTGTATGTCAGTGCTAATACTTTATTTCTTAATGCTTTCAAAAACATTAAGATTTACTTGTTTGTCATCACAGGCAGCGCAAAAGCATGAGGAACGAGGGAAAGTGTCATCTATCAGAATCCGGAAAACTTTACCCAAACCTCAGAACAACCTGACACCCATGGGCTTGCCCAGACCCATCAGGTATGTACTCATATACATGTAGTAAGTGTCTGAGTTCATTCTTTAACTTTAGAATGATGTGTGGCAGAATAGTCCTTATTCAGAGGTTGACTCTGTAGCTCTTAAGGATTCCACTGCATTTCATTGTCTCTTTCACAATAGTTAGTCACGTAATTTTCATTATTCATTTCATTGGTGTATTCCCACCTATTTTATCCGTCTCACTAAAAACCAAACTATAAATTAAATGCAAAGTGTCCAGACATTGATATATACATAAATTATAAATGCAGCCTCTTATGCTTGTGAGGTTTTCTGTAAATATGTTACAGTCTGATAAAACATGGTCTGGTTTGATCATTTGAAGCAAATTCAAACTTACAACACTCTTAAGAAGTCACTCTCCACCCTTAGATTAGATTAGCACATGACGGCAGAATAAATTCTAATGGATCACACTCTGGTGTACTGCTGAAAGTGAATTTTATGTCGTACCCGTTGTCTTTTGAATATTCTCTGATCAATATCTTTCATTGCAACATTGTTCTTTTTTTCCTTGTGTTACACAACAGGCTGAAAAAGAAGGAGTTTAGTTTGGAAGAAATTTACACCAATAAGAATTTCAGCAAACCCCCTGAAAGGTAAGATCAACTTAACTGACTACATATTAAATGATGCATATAAAAACACACACAGGTATTTCATATAGTCCTCAACAAATACCCATCCAGTCACACAACATAAAGGGCAAACAAGACTAAAGCTGGCATCACACTAGAGGATAATGGGGCTGATTCGCCCTTCCCAGGTATCTGCCCATATGGTCCTGTAGTGTGAGAGGTTTACAGACACAGTCTTAACACTACCGACTGGCTCAGTCTGTCCCTGATTTCAAATCACAGATATTTGAAATCCTCTTGTGTGAAAAGGACAGAAGTGGAATACTGAGTAGAAACCTCTGATGGCCACTGAAAGCGAGCCAACTGGGGAGCCTCATCAACTGTAGCAGTAACCTCATTTGAGACAATAAAACTTTATTTCCAAAGCTTTTTTCCCCCCTCACTACACAAAACAGCACATACAGATGCTACTATTGCCTACAGTCCAGCTCCATGTTTGTTTTTCTCTGAAGTGCAATCTTCATTCATACTGGTGCGTCATGGAAGAAATAAATGATGTAACATGTTGCGACTGAAGAACTGCTAGACTAAAGGCCTTTTCACACCGAACGCCTTTAAAGGGCCTTTAATGCTACATACTATTTGTATACAGTATCTACTAATCTTTTATAGTATGCTGTTTTTGCAGTTACTATGCAAGAAATCAACTACTTAATCCATTTAATACTATCAGGAGATAATATAATACTTCATCTTTAGAACGCTGGTGCTGTTATATTTGGTAGTAAGTGACGTCCCTTAACTCAACTAAACTGACTGGAATATGTTGCACCACTTTCAGTCGGCTGGAGACCATCTTTGAAGTGCCTCTAAATCGCCGAAATGGTTCGGAGTCCTGGTTTGGCCAGAAGCGCATCAAGCGATTTTTGGAGTTCCTGGAGGCTGGTGAGGCCAGAAAACCAAAGAAGCCACTCGTCGGTGCTGGAAAGACAGTGATCTCATCTTCCAGAACAAGACGAGGAAGCTTCACTAAAGACGAACCGTCCCTAACCATGCAGGATGTGGACTCGGTACTCTGTGCCAAGCTCGACGAGCTGAATTTGTGGTTGACACGTGAATCGGAGAGACAGTTGACAGATGCCTCATAAAAGGTGATTTATCAGCCATTGAGTAGAGATAATCCTGTCTTGACGTTGTGTATTTTCCACATGAAGACTCACGTGCATCTTTCAGCTTTTTTTGTCTTTGTCACCATGGTCTGTATATAAATGTTATGGTAACAAGTTATTATTGAATTACATTTTCATTCTGCAGCGTTTGGGGCGTGCATGTCGAAGAGCAATACATAATTTTATCATTACAGCACAAACCTTTGCCATTCGTTCTTTCTATCAGCAGTAAGTGAAACTGTCTTGATACAAATGCTGACACCCTTGATGTAAACCTTTTATAGAGTATGTTTTGTCTGAAATCTCAGTCTTGTCCCCAGATTGTTACAAACTCCCTTCAACGGGGAGTGATGATGCTATTTTGCTGCAATTACCGTTTCTTTTCAAAAATACCAATGCAGTTTACATCTCGTTGGTGTTGTGCTGTCGGGTTTGATAGACAGCAGTGTATCACATAAGTAGTAGTGACTTTGCAGCATCATCGTAGGTTATTGTAAAGGCAGATATTATTCAATTAAATGCTGACTAGATCTTTTCAGATGCCAGCAAGAGATTTGTGTTCACTTCAGCCAGTTTCACAACCATGTTTCTGTCCATGAAGTTTATGAACGGTGAGTCTGCAAATAGCAAGGAAATTGTAAATCTTTTTTTCTAAGCTCAGTGCAGACCTTCATCAGTTATTTGGTTAACTGTAATTTATGGTTGGAGAGGTTTTTGTTGTGTAAAATGTAACATGGACGCACTGCAGCACTCGAGCTTTTCTAATAAAGAGTGGACATGTCGAGACTCCAGTGTTACCTGTGGTTCACTCTGGATTGTTCTGTGGTGTCTAGATTGATATGTGAAGTCAAAGTTCTTGTTAAACTGCCTATGTTTGTTTTTTGTTTTAGGTTTCTTAACAGTAAGATTTTCTGTTAAAATGTTTTGTAGGTGTATTTACAATAAGTATTTTCATGAGGGCATGTTTCCAACAACAGGAGCACAGTTTTGTCATTACTAGAAAATTGTTTTATATATTTGTATAAAAGTACAACATACTGATACATTTGACATCAATAAAGCTAATATGGTAACAATGCAATAATGCTTGCACAATGTTGGCACCAAGCTAGAAGTCCGTGTTTTCATGAACCACTGTCATGCCTTGTCATTTAAAGTACAGACCCAGTCCAGGATGAACAGCTTTATGTTGCTCTTTTTAAACTTTGTGGTATCTGCATGTGTTTATAGTATGTGCTAATGACACAGTATTGAACTGAAAAAGAACCCGTGTTCAAACCTTTGTTATGGTTGCTAAATTTTAATGACATTTAAGGTGCCATGAATATGACAGTTATAATTTTAAGTATGTAATGTATGTGTCATCTTTCAAACTGCAGCTGATAATGGCTTTTGTGGTCATTGAAATAAATACTAGTGTGTAAAAACATGTAAAGGTTGAGTTTTCTAGAGCTATTTCTTGTGTAAAAAAACAGAGAGAGAGAGAGATGTTTAAGAGTAAGGGGTAAATTGAAGACCAAAGCCATCTTTTTTTGTGTTTCATGTAACCAGTGGTTTCTTCATATCTTCATGGTTCTTTGTTGATAAGAAGCTTTTGTGCTGTCTCCATCCGAAAGCAGGAAAGCGTCTCCACTGGGTGTCTTCTGCAGAGGTTTGTCTGTGTTTCTCAATCTTGCAGAGTGAGAACATATGTGATAAGTGCCATCAGTATGGGGATTGAGACCAGAATAGAAACCAATACTACAATGGAAATGATGGAATATTTCCTTGCTCGTCGTGAAAATGTTGCAGCTAGCGTTGGGTCTGTTGTATGTTCAGCCTGTAAACCAGAGAAAGTAACACTTAATACAATTGACAGTACACAGTTTGTCATTTAGTCTGCTGGTTATTTAAATTTCTTAAAAACCAATTATAAAGGCCTTATTGTCAGATATTTATCCTGCCTGGCATAGACAGTTACATTACATTATACTTTTAGCTGTTGGGTGATATATTTGTTCCTCATATGACATTATTTGTTAAAACTTTAATTGGTTAATCATCTGGAGAGAGGGAAGTCTGGGCATCTTTGCTTAGACTGCTGCCCCCGCGACCCGGTTCCGGGTCAGTTGTCTAGCTCTTATGTGGGTCCTGGTGTGGAGTCAGTGGCTCTCTCTCTGAGCATGAAAGAGGCTAAATAACTACACTTGATGCAGCAGATGTCTCTGTGGTGGTTTTGGGTCTCTTGGGGATAGTTTTGTCTGTGTAGTCTTTTAAATGTCTCTTCATACAGAGGCTGTGACTTTATTCAGTAATCCATACATAGGTTAGTTGAGCAGTGACACTTAATTTTGACATAAACATAAGAGTGAGGTTTCACGTTTGTTTTCGGTCACAAAAGTATGGAAAAGCTCTGAAATATTTCCTTATTTAGTGCCTTAACAAATATTGGCTGTGCGTGAACAAAGATGTACAGTATATTTTGTTCCCCAACAACTCATTCACAAACAAAGAATGGACCGTTCAGAGTGATGTTAACTCTGTTTGGGTTTGACTTTGTGATTTGGATGGGGTAGTGCTGCATAAAATGTACTGTCAACACCAATCACAGATACAGAACAGAATGAAATTCCATTGTATTTAACCCTGGGTTACAGCTGGGCTCTGTGAAGCCCCAAACAAAAGTGATGCCTAATATTGTTAAGTGCTTCTTAGCTGTGAAAGAGTGGTTGGGTCTTGTATGTAAATAAAGTGAATATCAAGTTTATGTCTTCTAGAATTAGTCTCTTTAGTACACACTGTTTGTTGAAGCACAAAGAGGGAAGTTTGTATTTAATGTGGGGCGGCGAAGTGGAGCGGTGCTTAGCGCTGTCACCTCACAGCGGGATGGTTCTGGGTGTGAGCCCGGGCCGCCCTGGGCCTTTCTTGTGTGGAGTTTCCATGTTTAATACACTGAAACTGGAAGATTTTTCTTTATTTAACTCAAAATATGTGCCTATCCTTTAACTAGCAGACAAGCGCTGAATGCAGAGAAGGCTGAATTCACCACTCTCTGCTTTTGTCTGTGATTAAGCACCACAGTTTAGCAGAGTTATGAGGATCGTATGTGCAGTTCACTGACAAACTTTCAGGCTGCCAATCGACCAGCACAAATATGGAATGTGCAGCATTATGCTTTCACATTCTGACTGATAGGTGAGAGTAAACAAGAAAAAAAGCTCAGTCAATAAAACACCTTGAATGAATTAGTCAAAGCAATGACTCCAATGCAGGTGATCCCACAGATGATGCTGCTGATTGCCAGTTTCCTATGGTACTTGTCATGGCCGCAGGTCGCAGAACCCCGCCCAGAAATGGCATTGCTATTCGGTGTGTCACCCGAACCTGATATGTTGTTCAGTGGGACCGCTTCATCCACCATCACTTTCGTCTGAGGTGAGTCAGACATTTCTGCAAAATATAACAGTGTGTCTAAGAAAGCTTCCCCTGGGTTTTGAGAAGGGTGCAAATGAGTGTTAAAAAGCACAGAACAATTTTATGAAATGACTGAGTTCATACTTTGTTCATACTTGATAGGATTGTTTGTTTTCAAGATAGAGGAGGAAGTGGTTTCACCTTTTCTGTAAGGACAAACCCTGCTCAGGTAAATGCCCATTTAATTAAAATGAATGAATGATCAGCGTTTGTTTTATGTTCAGACATTTATGTCTTATTTGACTTCATGGATTCATTGTATTTGATTTGTTCTCTTTATGCCCTTGCTTAAGTTATGAAAACAAATAACCTGGTTACTGACGTCACCTCCATTTAATGTCACAATGACACTCTCTCCCCATTATTCAACCTAAATAGCCCTTTATAAGGCTGGTATAACCCTGCATGTGCTCTGCAAAATGAATGCTCTATGCCCTATTATTTTACAGCTGTTCATAAAATAACTCCATGTAAACATATTTGAAATGTCCCTGAGTGATAAGACTAAAACTTGGAACCTTCTCTTAAACCAGGTCCACCTGATTTTTGGCTCATTATTATAACATGTGAATGCCAGCATGGTTAAAGAGGAAATCAGGAGTTTCTTAGGATTTGAAGATGATCATTATAAATGCTCTTCTTTTTTACTGACTGAAAAATGTGTACCCAAATCGCCCTTGTGGTCTGTGTTTAGTTTGTCAAACTTACTGACATAGTGATGCTTACAACACTAGGCAAGACAATTCCAGGTAAAGGAATTTAAAAAACAAAGATCTCCAACAAGTATAAACAAGTTCTCCAAAATATTCACATGCTATGTTCTCTTCAATGACTGTGGCATTTTCTCTGGAATGGGTATTTCCAACATGAAATGGAAAACAGCCTGCGAATGGCGACATATGGAGCACAATTCCAAGTGTTGTTTGTTAACCAAAAAGAATTTGTAGGGTTACACTTTAAAAATGCTGAAAGAATGTTGAACCCTCCCACAACCGGCAGGTTGTCATGGAGAAAAGAAAACATAAAATTTTAATTATCTAGTCTCTAACGCACTGGCATACTCCTCCTGTTTGTCACTTAGAACTACAAGGCCCTGGTTGGTGTCCTCAAAGGTAGGAATGTGCATTCCTGAGTGGGAGTGATTATCAAAGTTTGTCTTCTGTAAATATAACATAGCTACACAATGGAAAACAAAATCTTAAAAGTGGCTCTCGAAGACACATAACTTGATTTAACAATGTGGATAGTTGATCACACCTATTACGCCAAGCAGACGAAGTTTCATACCAATAAAATATTTTTAACTATTTTTTTTAGATTTTTTTTGTTACTTTGCACTGGGTCAATTTGACCCAGAACATAACAGGAAGGTTAAACACAATTAAACCTCGTTTGAAGGCAAAATTCTTACTTTAAAGTACAAACCTGATCACATTAAATGGCACTGTTTTGAATCCACTCTTCAGTCTGGATACACTCCTTCAGTGTACAAGTGATTCCTCGGGTTGTCCAGTGTGTTACCCCAACTGATACTGAAGTCTTAATGAACAGGTAGGCAGGTGGATTCCAGTTTAAGGTGACGCTGGCCTAATGAAGTTCCCTCTTTCAATAAGTTTCAGTAAAATGTGAACACATTGTTATCCAAAAACACCAACACTCTCATAGTAAAAGTCCAAAAGACCAGAGGTGGGAAGCCAACCTGTCTTTATGACTGCTCCGGTGCTACTGAGTTTGTTGAATGACCAGAAGCTGGGAGCGAAACTCCACACCCACTCCTTCCTTCTTTTCTGTCCTGCCCTCCCAACACGTAAACTTGTCAAAGTACTCGCCCACCTGGTTACATTAGTTCTCAGATTCTGCTCTGCTTTGTGATTGCAGCTTGACTGCCTCTCTTCCTTCTCAGTCACAGTGTTACAGACTGTATAGTATTATAACCTTTATCTTAGGCCTTTCCCACAGCACATACCACAGGACTGGGTGTGGCACCTCTTGTTTTGCCTTGGAGTGAAACCTGAACAAATTCCAGTTGGCCTGAGTATTTTATTCTATAAATTCATCTGGGAGTAAACAGATCTCATGTTTTGTCTTCCTCTAAACAACAGCTCATTATCATTTTACTCATAACAACCTGGATCTACACCACAGAGTCAAACAGGCCTCTTTTTGGTCATTAGTGTCTCCTGCCATGATTCTGCTCTACGACCCAGAGAAAGGAAATATTCATTGTTCATTAACAAATGACTATTTGACTGGTTATGATTTTTATTGTGTTATTTCTAAATATAGCAGCAACAAAGTAGCCCTTATCTTTCGTCACTAAACTGCTGGTACTATTTTAGAGTAATAAAAAAGTGTTAATCAAGAGTTATGACTGTCAGAGACATTTTTGAATGTAGTGGACCATACAAACCACGGGGGTTGCCAGACACTGTGATTATCTTCACTCCCACAATAATGACATTTCACCATAGTTTCTAAGGATGACCTGGCAGGGTCGCCACTATGTTTTATTGGGTAAAAAACTAAATCTGATTGCCGCTGAGTAAATTAAAATCTTGGAAAATCGGGGCCGAGGAGGTTAATTCAATTTTGCTGTTGACTTTAGGTGGTATCAGGTAAATGGTGAACTTAAGTGAAACTTGGCTGTACTATGCTCATAAGCCTCCTCATCCTGTGAACATTGCTGGAGCACATCTGTCTGACACAGACCTTTACAAATATCATCAAGGGCCTCACTCATGCTAGTTTTATTATTTCAATTTTATTGTACTTGTTTTGTTTTCACCAAGGTGTTGAGTGTGGCCTACCTTTATATTGTTATCTTTATAGATTATTTGATGAGCTACTTGATGTCTTATGTTTAACTTGGCACCAGACAGAAAATGCAACAACACTTTCATTGTTAGAAAGACACCTTATCAATAAAGCTTAAAAAAAAAGCTTCTGTTAGTTGTGGGTTTCTGTCGGAACTCCGCCTCCATATCTCAATCCACCAATGAGGAATTCCCAAACTGTGAGGGGCGGGAAACACGGAAACGCCACAAAGAAAAACAGGTGAAGACGACACGTCGGCTGTGTGCAGGAATCCCCTCTGTTCAGCTGAAACTGACTTTAAATGAACCTGTTACAGAAAAATTTTAACATCGCCATTGTTCAGTTTGTTATTTTTGTCAGCACCTCCGTGCTTTTCGCTCCTAACAGCTGAAATGGAGATAGATGGTGGTGTGGTTTTGGCCACCGAGAGATATGGTAATGCAGAGTCCTGGAAGTATTTAGCAAAGGATGGATTGATGGAGAGGAGAAGAGAAGGCGGTCAAGGTGAATCTAGAGGAAACTCTATTGTTGGCGTTTTCAAAGTAAGGGTTTACTGCTTTTCCATGTAGCAACGTTGACTTCATAGAGTCCACCTCTTAACTTCACCTTTTAATATTTTATTTCAGAGCGTGTTTCTGCCTCAGGGCTATCCAGAGAGTGTCAGCGATGACTATCTGCAGTACCAGTTCTGGGATACTGTGCAGGTACAGTATTTAAAACACCAAAACCACAGAGATTATTACCATCTCCATCACACTGAAACTCTCCATGCATTCTTGTCTCTGTCAGGCTTTCTCCAGCTCTCTGTCAGGGACTCTGGCCACACAGGCCTCTCTCAGAGGAGTCGGTGTGGGAAACCAAGAGGCAACAGTAGCTGCAGCCACAATCACTTGGTTATTAAGAGGTGGAACACTCATACAAAACCATAATATTACAGAAATCATACATGGTTTGTGCATCTTGCAAACAAATGTATTTTTCCCCACAGATGGAACTGGCATGTTGGGCAGAATCCTTTTTGCCTGGCAGAAAGGGTGGGCTCATTATTTTCTGTCCTGTCAATTTTGAGAGCTTTGAGCCAGTGTGTGTCTGTTTCGGTGCAAAATTTGTCTTTATGATCCATTTCATTGTCTTTGTCATAGGACTAAACTGGATTCTGAGGCCAAAAAATGGAGGTATGTGTGGTGCACAGACAATAAAATGAACATTTGGTGAATCCAGACATGATCATAACAAGTTTTTTGAATTACTTACCAGACTTTTTGCTGACTTTCTCAATGACATTGCCATGTTCTTGGAAATATTGGCTCCATACTTTCCTGCTTGCTTTACCATGATTGTGTGCACCGCAGGAGTTTTCAAGGTAATTATAAAACATTTTAAATTACTTAACAATTAAACTCAAGAGTCAGCTAATTTACTATGACTCAATAAAAAAAATAAAGTAGTAAATAACAAAGTAATTGAAAATGAATTTGAGTTGAGAAATTTTATCACTCCACATGTGCTCCAGGAGTCAAAAATGAACTACACACAATTTGTGTCAGATTTATTTTTATCATACAATTATACAACAACAATAGACAACAAGTTCCCTGGATTATTCTAACCTGTAAAGTATTTAAAGGACAATCAAATTGTCTATCCATCCATCCATAGGGGAAACTAGTTTGATTGCTCGTGCACAATGAAAATGTATACATGTGAAACAGACAAGAAGAATTCAAATGAGCACATTTTCTGTTGATTGACTAAACACTTTTAGGACTGCTAGGTATGTCTTGAGGTATATAAGATGATGCTTTTGTCTTCTGAAGTCTATTGTTGGAGTGGCAGGTGGAGCGACCAGAGCTGCTCTCACTGTTCATCAGGCTCGCAGAGACAACATGGCTGACATCTCGGCCAAAGACGGCAGTCAGGTGCATAACGGTGGTTTCACTGGCTTGTGACTTGTATTTTCATCAAACTCTTTTGTACTGTGGAACAACCAGTGATAAATACATTGTAATGAGTAACATTGTTTTGTAGCCATTCCTGTTCTCCTCTGCATTATACCAGGGAAAAGTCATAAATTATTGGTAATAGTGCATAACCTAATATATCTCATTACACATAAAGAAGTATAATGGACATGTTTTTTCTTTTGCTTTTTTTTATAATGGGCCTTTTTACCTGTCATAGTAGGAAAAACACTAGTAATGTTATTAATTTCAATAATGCAGACCCTGCTCCATTCTAAGTTTCCCAAGGTAATGATGGGCCAGCATGCACACTGCCAGATCCTGAAACCAGATCATTACCTTTATTATTTACAGTACTTTTCCTGCTGTGAAATGTTAAAGACCTGGGGTGAAAGTTGTTTTAGAACTCTGGGTTTCTGATTTTGTAAGAACTCTTTTACAAATGTCCAAAATCACCCCCATTTTCATGTCTCATTTTGCACAGGAGACCCTGGTGAATTTGGCTGGACTACTGGTCAGCTTGATACTTATTCCTCTCGTCACTGATAATCCGATGTAGGTGTTATATCGAACATATATAAATTATCAAGATATATGTAGTCTTAAATTATTTGAACAGCCTGTCATGTGTGCATCTTCCTTGCCTTCTCTCTTTCTGCCCCTCAGACTGACTCTCAGCCTCTTCTTCCTTTTCACTATCCTCCACCTCTTTGCCAATTACAAGGCTGTGCGTTCGGTTGTCATGGAAACCTTTAACGAAGCACGATTTTCCATCGTGCTGCAGCAGTACCTGAGAGATAAACAAATCCTGAGTCCACTAGAGGCCAACCAGAGAGAGCCAGTTTTTATGGGTAAAAACAAATCATAAATTTGAATGTGTTCTTTGATAATTCTTGTTTGCTGTTGTAGTGGCATTAAAACAGAATTGTAATGTGTTGATTCTGCATAATCAAAGTTATGAATTATTCTGGCTTTTTCCAGAGTTTAGGAAAACAGTGCCAATCAAACTGGGAGTGAGGCTACACGAGGTTGTGCAGAGGTAACTTGAGATAACACTTTTATATGATGAAAAATTACATACAGCAAAAACTCATTACAGTTTAATATAATTCTGTTTTTGTAGCCCAGATGAACTTAATTTGGCTTTGAAGAAAAACAACATGCCTTACCTATTAGGAGTAAAAAATGGTATGTCATCTTTTGTCTTCTTCCTCCAGAACAACTTGTTAGTATAAAATACATGGAAGGGTTTTTTATTGTAACTAGGCTGTGTTCATTTCAGGCTCTGTATGTGTTTGCTTGGGACCAGAGGCATCTGTACAAGATGAAATCAGAGCAATGTGCCAGGCTGTGTGGCTCAGCAGCATGTTGAGCCACACAGCTTCCAGAGAACCCACTACAAAACAGCAGCAGAGTAAGCCTTTACCTCCATTCATTTACATTAATAGGGCTGATTAAAAGTTACACTCTTTTAAATGCTACACACACTGTTTTTTTTTAAGGTCACTGGGAAATGGTGTCTGAGAGTTACACGCTGTTGGATACAGTTTTCAATCCATTTATCAAAGGTGAGCACCCATAAAATGGTTTTAATCTGCAAATAGTCAACTTTCTCTTGTATATATTTTTTTTACCAGCAAAAACATGGTTTTGCTGATATCATTTCCAGGTGTGGAAGCTGCAGGATGGGACATTAAACGGACTCTGCTGGACTGGGATGAGTGGCGGGTCCAGTGCAAAATAAAAAGCAACTGAGTTGTGAGACATCTGCAGCTATTTTTGTTTTTCATTTTTTAATATGTATTAAATGGTTATATTTTAATGACCTCTCTGTGTTTCATTGTCCAAATCTTTGTGGGTATAATACAAATAGAGAGAGAAAAAAGCATTTGTAGCCTATAAGAATATGTGGCGTTTATTTTATTGATGCTAATTAAAAATCCAAAGCATGAGGATCAGTGAGCAAATGTCATTTGCTCTTTATTTTGAAAAACACTGAATTTATGTGAGTGTAAGGTAGCCTAAATGTTTCATACAAATAAAATATGACTGAAAGCTTAAGGGGGCAGTAGGTTTCATAGCCAATATTAACACACCACGAGGAAAATGAAGAAGAAGAAGAAGAAATTAAGATCCGGTTGTTTCAAAATAAAAACATTCTGTAGGGTAACAGCGAATTTAGTTCAAGAGGGTGTGAAGAAGAAGAAAGATGTACTTATAAACAGTACTGAATAATATAAGTATAAAAGATTTGTACTATAGTTTTCCGCTAATCAAAATCTTTAAAAGTCATCATGAGGTTATTATTTTGAAAATTCCAACATGTAACGGTAGTAGATTTTGTAATATTGCGAACTTGACCAGTCAAACAAATAAACAAAATCTGTTTCTTTCGTATTCTGGCCGAAATTACCAACTAAATGGGGAGGTATAAATGTGCATACAACTGTGAAAGCTCCGGAGATTCAGACGTTAAGTATTTTAAGTGAGTATTTGATGTTACGACCAGTTTATCACCCAAAACCAGGGAATAGCTAGCAGATAGGTACTAGTTAGCACTAAGTAAAACGTCAATCGCACAGCTAGTTATTGCTGTTTGCTACGTTTTTACACCTCGTCTCACTATTAAGCACTAAATTTAGCGCACATTGTAAAACTTTAGTTTCTCTATGTGTTCGGCTAAAATTTTAGAGAATCAGTTTGCAATTACTAGAGCCTTGCTCATTGGTTCACATGCAAAATGCGTTTTATATAATGTTGAAATTCACTCTACAATACATCACACCAGTAATAAACTGTGTAAAACATTTTAATAAAAAGTTCATACTTTATAGAAATACTGTACCCACTTCTTTATGCTAATATACAATATATAATAGTATATAATAATAATATACAGTATATGTGAGCATTTCATAAGAAGTCTTAAGTAATATTTAACTGTGAACACAGTTGACAATCAGAGCTAAGATACAAAATGTATTAACTTTTTTTGGGATCATTGCTTTTGTCTTAATGAACTGTCTGTTACTACAGGTTTCCCCTGTACAATCCTCGCAAACTCAAGAAGTGGCTTGCCAACATGAATTGGAAGGACTGGACTCCATCTCGCTTCTCAGTGCTGTGCAGCAATCATTTTGAGGAACAATACATTGAAAGAACAGGCAAATATGTGACACTGCGAGAAGATGCCATTCCCACCATTTTTTCATCCCCTGATGACGCACACAAAACAAAGGTTTATTATAATTTGCCTGTGTCAGTGGACTAGTGGACTAAAATAAAAAAAGTGTGGGTTAAGTAAAAATACTCTGTCTCCTTACTGTAGGCCTCCATCAAACCAAGAAGTTCACTACACAAGGTGAGATCATAGCATTCTGACATTTAACAGTTAAAACTGTGATTCATTTGTGACTCTTTTTGCTAGTGTGTTGGTACTGTTTGTCCAAATTTATAAAACATTGTTTGCTCTGTTGGGACTTTAATTTGGTTTAAAAATCAATGGCATTAACATACTTCAGTAAGTCCTAAGTCATATAAGCATCACAGTGTGAGTAAGAGGTTATAATCACAATTAATACTGACATCCAAACATTCAGTGTTTTGTTACCATGTATTCCTGTCTCAGCTACGCAGTGCTAAAGCATCACAGATGAGTCCAGGTCAGTCTCCAACAAACCATCATGGCACAGTAAAGCAAAACATCCAGAACAAAGAGACCAACCAGACTGAGGAAGAACCTGCTGGGTAAGTTACTTCTAAAGCTTTCCTTCCATTGTGGTTTTCCTTTTAACACAAACAAGAGTACAACTAATCTAATATTTAATAATAAATCAACACATATTGTCCAAGGGTGTCACAGAAATTATACGTCTCTGCCATCAAAGTCAGTGCATTTTCTGCCTTTATTCAGTACATTGTATACAGTGACATTAGATGGTTTTTCAGTACACAAACAACACAGGCTATGTTAGCATTCAGATAAAGTAACAGACCTGTAATCTATGACAGCAATCACTGATGTGATGAAGGGTGTATTTTTCTGGGGGCTAAGCTACTGGAGCTAGCAAACACAATTTCTGAGTGTCCCCTTCTGTTATGTGTTACTTTCCATGCTAATTTAAATTTTGAAGAACACCACAGTAGGGGCCATTCAGTGTCATTCTTTTTAACAACGGTGTATTTTCAGTGCTCTCGCGGGAGGCAGTGCTGCATTTTAAACTCTTTATCAACTGGGTAGTGCATTATTAAGTAATTTCTGTTATTTTAGTTTTTACTCTTCACATGGTGCCCTCAAGCTGTGTTTCATTAATTTACCACAAAATCAACTGGCACAGAAAATCAACAGGCAGGTGGCTTTCTAGTATAAGACAACTGGTTGAATTCTGGGTCTGTTCTTTTGAAAATATCATGAAGATGCCTTGTGTTGTGTTGTTTGTGCGTTGTACTTGATGGGAATTTGAAAGCCCAGCAGCAAACCTCTGCCTGACACTCCCAAACAGGTCCCTCTGGTCATACTGCAAAGATCTGATCTGACGCTGTGTGTGCAGTACGTCCTTAGCTTCATACACTAAAGACGGCTCTTCCACTAACCACAGTGTAAATATATAAACAAATTCATTTCTAGTGTATGAAACAACCGTCGCTCTGCATCTGATATATGACGTCTGCTGTGGGACGCTACATCATTTAAAAAGATGTGCTTGAAAATATGGTTTAGTTTTTTCTTAATTTTTAAACTTGTACATTTAAAGTTTCTGTCTGTAAACTTTATTATATGCTCTCCAGAGTGTAACTATTCAGACAGTTACACATTCTGGGTTTTTGAAGTAAAATAATGGATATGAGTTACAGTGCAATCTCAGCATTTGGATTTTTCAGGTATTTTTTAATTTTTATGTTTGCACTTGACTGTTGACAATGTTGAAACTAAAAAATGCACTTGTGCAAGCACAAATTTAGCAGTACGAGCTTTCAGCACACATTTTATTAACTAAAATCTACAAAACCTGAGATTACAAGAACTAAACTATTTTCACACACATTTTTAAATGATGTAATAGTCCATAGTTTTAATTATTAAACAGCCTTCTAACAAGAATTTATTTGGCACTGCAAGTTATTGCAGTTATGTAACAGTTATTTGTTGGAGTAATATGCAAAATATAAAAAAATTCTTTCAAGGTTAAGGCGATGTATTACTACCATACGTATTCATGCGTTTGTGTGGTTGCCTGCATCAGAAGCTGCTCTGTGTTTCTTTTTCTTCTTCAATGTGTTGAATTTTTCTGGTTTTATGATCAGAGACAAAGACCCCAAAAAGTCTGACAAATGGAGGATTATAGTTGATGAAGGGCTTATGAAGATCGAGTCATTTCCACATTTCTTTCATGGAGATTACTGTGTACCACAGGTAAGTGGTATTATGTACGGTATAATTACTCATCAGTGTTTATATAACTTAGTGACCCTCATAAATGTTGCAAACTGTTCCAATTAAGATTTGTCAGATGTTTACCTTCAATACTGCAGTTTTTTTTATTAAATGTTGTTTGTTCATATTTATATCCTACTTTTCCATTTGTCTCTGGGTCACTTTCCACATGCACAAGCAGGATATTCAGTGGGCTCCAGATGATAATTTTAGTGTAAGTAGACAACATAAAACTACAGTACTTTGCCTTCTGTGTTATTTTGTATTTTACATCAAATGCTGCTCTGTGATTTTCACAGACAGAGTGTAAAGATCCTGAAAACATAATAGAGGTAAGTTACAACATGTACCTGAGTTGTAATAAATACAAGCAAAATTGACTGAGGATTATTAATGCAATCACACCATATTTCTGCTTGATGTTATGTGATGGCAGGTGACGGAGCCGTGGCAGTGGCTTGGTCTGGATGTCAGAGGACCCCTGCCCCAAACACTAAATGGACACAAATACATTCTGACTGTGACAGATTACTACTCCAAGTGGGTGGAAGCTGTGCCTTTGCAGTCATGCCTTCCTGCACATGTGGCAAAACACATTGTGGACATTATCAGCCACTTTGGATACCCACACAGAATCCTCTCCAGACTGCCTCACGACATAGTCCACAAAGTGAGTGTCCCCTGTCCCCTCTCCTAGTGAATCTCTGTTTCACAAGGCAGTTACCATGAAGCTGTGACAGCCTGCCAATGGCTAATTCTGTGTTTGTTATATGTCATATTAGAGTTAAATGTCATGGAGAGGGCACCAGGCCTCATCTTACGACAGTGTCGAGGAGGCTATTTAAAAACTCTGTGAATGTTTTCTGTTACAATAAACCATCGTAATACTGTGTCCTAATCAGACGTAGATATACTGTGTGACTGTATCTCTGTGCTAGATCAACAGAGAACTGAAAGAGCAACTGAAAGTCACCATTGTTCTTGTGGTTCACCATCAGCAGACTGGTGCTGCAGATTTGACCACACAGCAGCTGATTGACAGGTCTGTATGTAGCTGCTTTGTGAAAGGTGTGATAGTTTTGGTATTTAGTGCTATGTGTAAAATTTTACACCATGCTTTCCTGTCTCATTGGTTAAATTTGCGTTTTGAAATGATGGGCAGTTTCCACCTCTTGTATTCTTCTCATTGGTTCTGGTTTCAGTCAGATTGAGACCCATTTGTCAGATTAATGGCATTTGTTACTTGCCATTTGTAATCTGGATATTAAGACCCACTAAGGTTAGTCCCTTAGTTCCAGCAGGGTGAAAATTGTATCATGTAATGTACTGTAATGTAGCCTTCAAGATCAAGAAAATACATCTTTTAGGTGTGTCACAATTGGAAATGTCAAAATCCCAGATTATATTTGTCATATTATTAGATTGCTGTTGCATTGATGCATCTCCCAGCTCCAGATTGATGTGATACTGGCTAGGTACACAGATACAGATTTATATGGTGGTCTTAAATTGCTACATGCTCCGGTTACTGGAAATTCTGTCATCATGGCTATATGTTAAAGCTGTGACTTTTTAAATTTGCTACTTCCCAACAGGATGGTAAGTGATCTCACTGAGGAGCATGCGTCTGACTGGGACATCTACCTGCCTGCCAAGGTTTTCAGTCTGTGTTTCGAAGAACATTCAGAGACTAAGGAGAGGCCTTTTTCTGTGCTCTGCTGTAGCGAAGTAGAGCCCATCCGTTCCCCCAGAGGGCTGAATGCAAGTGTGGGTTTTGAACTTTTCCATTTTGATGAGGCTTTGTTTTATATATACTGTAAAATGATTCTCCTGTTTTTGCCTCTTTGTTCCACAGTATTCCAAGATCCAAGAGAGTGCTTTCATTGTCAGATAGAGGTTTAAGGTGTATTTGGTGAGTTGAATCTGTTAATGTCTTGGAATTTTTAAAGGTGTTTTCCAGAAAGTGAAAATCTGTGAATTTGAAAACAGTCTCAGACACAATATTGACAATATTAGGGGATTTTGCAAACATGTCACTTCATGGCAACGTCCAACTTATCTCACTCAGTGCTTTTACTTATTTATTTTTTCAGGTCACTTGAGTTGGAAATAAAACCTGACTCGGTTTCATTAGCAAACCAGGGAAGAAGAATATATTTTGGTCACGGATACACTCTGACTTAGTCAAGGATTGTCATGGAAAAGTGCTGGAATTCTAATGTACTTTGTGGCCCTACAGTGGGAATGCAGGAACACCTTAAATTGACCACGACAGATACTGGAGATTCATTTGTTCATATTCTATTACAATGAATTGTCTTAAACATGGTACTGGAGAGGAATTTGAGGACACATCAGCTGAAACCATAGACCTCCCTGATGCCAAAAAATATGAGTCATATGACATTTTATTTTGCACTGTTTTGAATCTTGTGACTTAGCCTCATGTTTCAAATGCCAGTAAGCAGTACTTTTGATGTGCAAGTCAAGAGTTATTCCAGCCAGTCCAGGCATTTGAGCTGGCTAATTAAAGGATGTCCTGTTTGAGTTGCTGTTGAAATTGTCAATGAAATGTAACCTGTCAATAAACTTGCTTCAGGAAATAATTGCTTTTGTTATTCATATAATATGCGGAGTGACACTTCAAAAATATTGCTGTGTAATCGTTGTGTACCCTAAATTAAGTACTTTGTCAGCAGCATGACTTGTTTTCAACTTCCAACACATTCAGAAGGATCACACCTGATCATTCATGCGGTATGGAGTGCATCTGCAACATAATCACATTTGTTATGTCTGAGCTGCATGAACACCTGCACTGTTAATTTATGCAAAGATGAGTTACTGGTTCATTTTTCAGGAAGGTGCTGAAGTAGAACTACACTCATTTGATAGTTGTTCAAAATAGATCTAGAGGGACAGCAGCTGAGTTTAAACAGTGCATTGGGATAATTGAATACATTATAAAACATGATTTATGTTTTCACAAAAAAAGTATTTAAAATTGTATGACTACTGTGTATGCATGTTTAGGTGTTTTGTTCGGCCTGTCACATTTTTGTGGTCACAGATGACCAGCCAGCCAAACCATAACATCAAGACAGAAGAACAAATCGTGGCTTGTGACACTTCACCTGATTTGTAGTGTGTGTCTCATCTGCTGTCACATCATGTTAGAAATTTGACAGGAGCCTGTTACACCTCCCTCGTGTTTCTGATGAAGTATAAAGTTGTGGTACTGACATCTGCTGGCTGATTGTTAACCTGCAGCTGTGTCTGTTTGATGCTGCTGTGATTGTACCGGTTGTCGCTGTGCAGAGGAGGTGGTTTTTTTTTCTGTGTGCAAGCAGCCGCAAGAAATGGTGAGTGAGGAAAACAGATACAGCTTATAATGTAACGGCCTGATGACTCGCCAGACCTTACTTTAGTCAGCCATTAAACCCTCCTCTAAGCGTTAAAATGTGTGCCGTCGTTAGGTGAGCCAAGTTTGTCACAAAAGCGACCATCATAAAGCTGATGCCTTTGTTTAGCTAAACCTTGCTAACGTGGGTTAGCTTCCCTGCGTTTGGTTAACGTGAACACAAACGTCAGCTGGACATTGCATTATATGCTCAAGTCAACAGAGAGGTTAGCAGAAAAGGTCTAGAGAAAATCGCAGAGATGTTAATATTATTCCGAGTGAGTGACAGCTCAACCGACAAACTTTGTTTCTTATCTAATACTAGCTAGCTGTAAAGGGGCTAACTAGCCAAAGTTGTCAGTAGCTGCTCGGCTAACGTTATCCTCTGTAAAACAACTTAACGTTAAGACAGGTTTATAAAAAGATTGATTGGTGCTAACAGCTGCATGTATGTGTTTTAACGGTGGATGTGCCAACACAGGGTACTGGGGCTCTACATTTTCCATACCCCGTTTATTGAGGAAGCTCCTCCAGCTAACAGCTGATTGAACGACAAGTAGCATTATCTTTGGGTACAGTTAAGCTATCTCGTCACGACTTTAGCTAACAGCTGCAGCACCACGGGTCTATAAACGCCGAGGTGCAGGATGTTTACTGGACTTGGCAGTCGACTTACGAAACAGCCGTGACTGCCGTCTTCACCACCACCACTACAGCCACTGTGTTTCACACTGTAACCTGGTTTTTATGCCAAAACGAATCTCATTTCTTAGCAGGATATACAGTATATCTTGGTGGGATCTCATTTCTTAGCAGGATATACAGTACATCTTGGTGGTTTTTTTTTTGGCTGTGATAAAACCTGATTAAAACGAGACAGCATGAATAAGTTGTTCCAGAGATAAATGTATCTCCAGAAATTTTCAGTGTCACATTTTAGAAAATAGCATTTACAAGGTCAGCAGTGACATTTTGTCTGAGAACACCAGTGAAAGCCATCATTGTGTCTTATTTCCATTTATTTCTCTGTCACTTATGTTACCTCAGGATGTATTTCTAATGATCCGACGTCACAAGACGACCATCTTCACAGATGCCAAAGAGTCTACGACAGTCTATGAACTGAAGCGCATTGTGGAAGGCATTTTAAAGAGGCCACCTGAAGATCAAAGGCTTTATAAGGTGCCATCATTTGTCTAAAACCTATTTGAGTTTATACATTTTCTCAGATGGGAATGTTGGTTCACCTAACAAAGTTTTTTTTGCAAGCACTGAAGGAATAACAGTATACATGATCACTTACTTGAAATTACAGTAACATTTAAAAAGATTAACTTTGATCCATTGGTAATAAAAATCCAAACAAAACAGCACTGTAATTATGTGTTTCTCAGAGCTCTGTACTGTTCCCTCTGTGTGAGGTGTTTATGACCATTTATTGGTCCATGAGGCATATAGTGAACAGCTTATTGATTTGTTCTTGTTGCTCATACCCATACGTCGATGTTCATGTAAGCTTAGACCAATATTAAAATTCCTGCTTAAAGCTAATTGTGACTGAGGAGCCCGCAGGAGATGTGGAAAAAAATATACCATGAGACATTGTAAGCTCTGAGAACATTTGGAGCTCCTAATATTCTGACCCTCTCATCTACTGTATGTATCTGGGGAGGACAAAATAAAGACATCTCTAAATATAATGTAATCCAGTACAACACCACCTTTAACTATGACCTCAATAATAAACGTATCATTGAATTCAATGCAAAGCTTGAGCTATTTTTCCACATTCCTTAATAGACCCAACAGCTGCAGGATTCTTTGGCTTGAAACTTAACTAACCTCCCTCAGAGAAGTAGTAAGTAAACGGCTGGCTTTGCAATACTTTGTTTTCTTCACCAGGATGACGTGCTGCTTAATGACAGTCAAACTCTTGGAAATTGTGGCTTCACAAATCAAACAGCCCGACCTCAGGCCCCTGCCACAGTGGGATTAGCTTTCCGTCTGAGTGGTAGGTAGTTCACGCTTTGATCAGCTTCTTATTAGAGCCAATTCAGATAGTGTTATACTTGTGGCACCAATCATTCATTTGATTTATTTCAAGCCAACACCATTCTGGAATCACGTAGCTCTGATTTTCTACTTTGATTCGCCGTACTTTCTGCCTTGTCTAGTGTGGGGTATTGAACTTAGATGCTTTTATGGCATTGATCAAATTAGTTCAATACTATTGAGTATCAAAAAATGCTTTTATACAATGTTATTTATAGATTTTAATGTTAACATAATTTAAGGTTGTGGTAAATAGGTTTAATTTATATATATATTTGTGTGTGTGTGTGTGTGTTTTAAATTGATTTTATAAAATTGTTATAGAAAAAGTAGTGTTTAAGAACCGGATTTTGAAATTTTGTAATGATACCCAGCCCTACTCTTGTCTCTTCTTGCTCTTTTCACTGTTCATTTTCTCTTTCTGTCGCTCCCCTAGATGATTCATTTGAGCAGCTGAGGATCGAGCCTTTCTCCACTCCCCCAGAGCTCCCTGATGTCATGAAGCCCCAGGACTCAGGCAGCACAGCCAATGAACAGGCTGTACAGTGAGGGAGGGAAATGAGAGGGACACACAGGGGGTCAGAGGGAGGACACATGGGGGGAGGGGCGGTTTGAAATTTGGGAATTGATGCCTCAGCGGGTGATTTTTACCTTGCAGACGACTGATCTTCAGCGGGGCATAATCAGTTACAAACACGGAGTCTCCTTGTTGTAAATGTGAGGGCGGAGCTTCACAGTGGTTTGTTTGTCCTGAAATCGGTGAACGCATGCTGGGTAAATGAATAATTTCACGCACAACCCTTCAAAGATACCTGACGGACTCGTCACGACACTGTCAGTCCTCCATGGGATTCGTAAAGGCAGAACATAAAGAAATGTACTTCATATTTAATAAATTCTAGTCTTTATTTGGGGTAAGGCTAAAGCTGCCTTGCTTGTTTTTATTTTGCTGGCTTAAATGTGGGAGTTGAGATGTGACATTTTTAGGCTTTATGTTTGTGTGTCTGTTAAGTTGTTTCTAGGATTTAACATGTTTTGGTTACGTGTCAAGACAGTAGCTAGGAGTTTGTGAATTTTTAAGTTAGTCTGTATTTCAAGAACTTTTGAACAATATGGATCTAAAATAAAATAGATTCACCTGTTGGCAGAAGATTTGGCATTAAGATGAACATTTCTCTGTATTTTACCTAATAGTAGTTGTCATACTGTAGCTGCTCACAGAACTTAAGAGACTGAATGCAGTCGGTCATGGGTGTGGATTGAAAATGAAATGACTGACAGGCATAGCAATGATCAAAAATGAATTGGTATTGATTACTGATTCATTTCTTCCTAACAGAGGCAAGAAATAGCCAGTGTTCTTTCTGATTGTGGCTGATGAAGTCATGGAGATGTTAATTTCAGTTGTTGGGCCTAATTGTAGAAAAACAAACAATTTTATGCTAAAAAAAAAAAAGATTAGTGGGCTGCATGTGTGATCCTCCATTATCCCAGAATCACTGACCGTTTAGTTTAAGTTCATGCTGCAACTTGTGTTGTATTAAATGCCATTAATACCTTAATACACATAGATTTTCTAAAATTAAGGGTGAAAAAAAACAATTTAACTCTGCAGCACATATAACACTGGGCCTCAAAAAAGTACTATAAACAAATACCCTTCCTTAGTTACCACAGGAAAGGATATTTTGACCTAAAGTGTAGAATAACATTGTCGGACTTTACAGAGAGCAGTTTGCAAATTGAGGCTGTTAAACAGTGGGACATGATCTGAGTTGTACTTGTAACTGATTTAAAATTAAACCAAATGTTTTTCACCCCTGTCCACTGTAGTGTTTTTGCAATGAATGCCTTTGTAGTTATTGTTATGCATGTTTGCACACTGAGGAATACAACCAGTTCTTGAATTCTCATTAAAACAGGAAACACCCACAATCTTTTCCTATAGTACAAAATAAAAGTCTTTGCCATATACAACAGTTTAGGCCGGTACAGTTGTTCATGACAGACACATGATTTGAGTAAGCTATTTTAATACATTCATACTTAAAATCAGTCCTATGCTAGTGGTTGTGCCATCACCGGTATGTACACAAGTTTTTACAGCAAGCCGTGGTTGTGTTTTTGGTGACCAAACTTTGGTCTACAAAATGAAAGATGAGCATCACAACAATATCTTTAGGTGCTGTTTTAGAAGATATCTAATGCACACATTTTACAATGTAATAATATTAAGATTAGTAGATCTGACATGACTTATTCGCTCTTGGTTCCTGAACGTTTCATAGGATTTTGAACTTTACGACAGCACATGAAGGCAGCATAGTTTAAAGTAGTCGGGAGATTAGCATTTTGCTAGCAACGGTCGCTATTAGTGCCCGACTCCTTACCCGTCTGTGCAGCGACAAATGACTTGGTTAACCGATTACCCCTACCGTAGCATAGACTAAGAGTGTGTGGGTTATCTATCACCAGTACAAATGGATGTCAGTGACTGTGTTTTATCGGCGGGTAGAGCCGTGCTGGACATGGTGGAGCGGGAATGGCAGCCTCTGTCTCCGGGCGAGCTGGAGCAGCGGCTGGACCAAACAGTGGAAGAGATCCTGGAAGCTGACCTACTAGCAAAAGTTAAAACACTTTCTCCTCCTGCTTTATACGTACAGTTACTGCAGAGCACAGCAGACATGGGGGCCAAAGTTTTGCACACAGGAACCACAACATCCAGGCCCCAAGAGGAAGAGACAGCAGAGCCCTGGGAGCAGCTGGATGCAGTGGACAGTGCAGCAGTCAAGGTAATCATGTGTCCCCTGATGCACTTATGTGCGACATTATATGTGAATGTCTGACTCCTTAAAATGTTTACAACTCTTATTGTCGTGTTTTTCCCTTGTACTGGTTGAGTGATAACGTTACTAGTGAAACTACACTGGAAATATGTGGAATTGTCCCACCTTCAAGGCCACAATCATCACTTTACCTGTAACCACTAAATTCTAAATGTAATTGTATTATTGCATTGTGAATGATCAGTTCTGCCCACAGTCAATGGTTCTACTTGACATATCCATTAAATCTGCTGTCTGACAATGGCCACTGTTAACGACTATTCAGTTTTTTTTGTCTCATCAGTACATTGCAGACCTGCTTCAAAGCTCCAAATCCAGGGCTCGAATGGCTGGACGGGCTCGCTTGTCTCTGTCCCACACAGTCCTGCTGTCCCTCACTCTGCTCTCTAAGCGAGTCAGCTACCGCTCTGTGTCCCGCCGCTTCCACCTAGAGAAGGGAAACATCCACAGAATCTTCTTTTCTTTCTGTGAGCGTGTCAATATGCTGGAGGAGAAGCAAATCAGATGGCCTGTCGGTGGGTTGATTACATACTGTAGTAGTTTGAGGGAAATTTGTGTGATAATCAGTATAATGTTGCCAACGAGTCCAAAATCTGGGTTGAAAATGGTAATGGTGATGGTATTTTCTCTCTGTTCCCCAGGCAGAGAGGCTGTAGAGGCCCTTTTCCCACTCTTCAGTCCAGAGGATGAGGAGGGGGTGCAGAAAGCTCCTCAGGTCCTGGGAGTTTTGGGATGCACTCAGATTCCTATCCGGTTGCCAATAGGAAAACATGACGTGGAAAGCACAGTTGCTGAAGTGAAGAGGATGAAGAAGGAGGCCCACCCTGACTCCTGGCTAAATCTTGAGCTCGTTTGTGACCATACAGGGCATTTCTTACACTGTAGAATCAGCAAAGGATCAGACATGGACAGAGGCATCACTCTGAGAGACAAGCTCAAACAGCATCCTGAACTGATGCCCCCCGGCTCCTGCCTTGTGGCCCGAGCCGGCTACCCGCTCACTACTCAGATTTTAACCCCATACACAAGAAGTCACAGCCTACAAGAGGAGCTCTTTAACAAGACTTTGGAAGAGCATTTTCAGATTCTGGATCAGGCTGTCGCCAACCTGAGAACCAGATTTCAAAGGCTCAGGTATCTTGATATTGGGAACTATGAGCGAGCCAGAGCTGTTGTTCTGACTGCCTGTGTGTTGCACAATGTGTTTTTGGACATGGGACAAGTAATTCAAGGAGAAGTCAAGAAAGAGGAACCCATAATCCAAGAAGGAGAGGGGGAGGTGGATGACGAGGGTGTGTGCAGACGTGACGCTATCTCCGATTTGTTGTTTAAAAGCTTTGACTCTGAACGGACATGATGTGATGAGGTTTGCTGGTGAGATTGTGTAAATGAAAAGTTCTGTAAAATAAAGGTTTATTTTAACTGAATCTTTAGAGTTTCTGTCTGTACATACTCAACACTTCTATTATTCATGTTACCCATTTTCAAATGTAATTGGAGCTGGACAAAAAAAATCGACAAAAGTTGTGTTTATTGCAGCGTTGTTGAGCAGAACATATTGCATGTGAAGTTGAAATATGAAACTGATATTTAAGTTGTTAATGCTGTCTATAGACAGTAAAGGTAAAAAGTAAAACTGCACCAGTATGACCGTTCTAAAAATGTTTATTACAAATATACTCAAAGCACTTTCCCTCATGCAGTACTATAAAGGCTTTTGATAAGAAGTTCTGATAATTTCACATCTGTTCTGGCCTAATGTCCATCCTTTGACATCTGTGTGCTGTTCCTCTGTGCCAGACTGGAGATGGCCTGGGCCAAGTTGTTGATGGCCTCTATCTTCCTCTCCTCCAAGGCTTTCTGCTGGGCCCACATGTTCATCTTCCTCTCTTGCAGCTCCATGTACAGCTGCAGGACGTCCTGTGGAAGCCGGGAAGGACTGGGAGTGGCTGTCACAGGAGGTGTGGGGAGGATAGGGGTAAACCTCTTGCTAGCAATGGCCCTACCCACTCTAGTCCCACTGAGCTTGGCCCTGCGCTGGGCATCAATCTCCTCCCTGCTCTTGCCCAAGACCTCATGCATAGCCTCGAAGAACTCCCAGTGGACGCTGGCCACCCCCAGCCTCTTGGCTCGCTCTGCATTCTTCCTGTATGTGGCCAGCATGTTTCTCCATTTGAGATCACACTCGTATGCCTTCACAGTGACATCAGTTACCCCCGACTCCCTCAGTTTGCCATTCACCTTCTCTGCCACCATCTCCCAAAGCTTCTTTTTCTTGCATACTGGCTGATCAAAAGCCTGATCCATTTCTAGCCGGGTTTTGACAAGATGCCATGTAGCCTGCAGTGTCCAGATAAATTCTAGAAATAAAAAACAGTGGTGGATCATGTCATAGGTAGATGTAACTATGACCTTGTATATTGCTTTTTAAAAAGATAAAGGAGACAGTCTGTCTTTAACACCTTTTTGAAAACCTAATTAGAATATGATTTATAATCCCGATTTATGTAACAAACAAAATATGAATCAACGTTTATGACTATAAAGACTGCAACAGACAGGTACTGCACACTCATCAGGCCCTCCTCGCATCATGCGATGACTGGGTGAAACCTGTTTACTTCAACTTAAGATGCAAATACCTACCTGCTTTAGCTTTATCGGCGTCCACACTGGTCACGACCGCTTCCTTTCCTTCCACTTCAGCACTTTGTATCACAATTGTCTCAATCACCTCCATGCTGTTGTTAAAAAATAATCATTTTAATTAGATCTGATTATATTTTGCGGTGTATTTATCGTGGAGTTTAACAACCTCTCAAAGGCACCGATGCATTTTTCCGCATCGAGTACAACGATGATTATAACAACGCCACAAAGCAGCTTGGGAAGTATAGTTCATTTGAGTTGATACAAACTGGTTTCTGAATAGTCTGTTATACCAGCTAAACTACAATCCCTAAACGCTAAGGTTATGAACGACAAGCTACTATTTTTCACTGTCACTGGGAATGTAGTTTTTATAGAGAGGAAATGAACTACGAGAGGCGAAAGGCAGCAAAATTTTAACTACAAGTCCCACCGTATATCTATCTAACCCACCTCTTCCCTCCCTGCTCCCTCACTCAACCGCCCCTGTTTTGTTGTTTGGCTAAAGATGGCGTTAGCGGCTAATACAGACGATTGCATTTTGTTTCACAAAAATTATTCGGCCAGTGGTAACAAAACATTGACCAAATAGGGCTTTAGTTCGTTATTTGATGTGCAAAATATGTTACACTGAACAAAGCCACGTCCATTACGTGGAACAACGCTTGTTCGGCCTTCTCACGATGTTGGCCTGTTTTTCAGGGAGTGGACCGAAGCTGTTGGAACTCCATCTCCCGTCACTAACTGCGGCGTCAGGTGGTACAACTTTTTTTGTGCTGGTATCTGTAGTTTTCTAACCAGACTGTTTTTTTTGCAGAAACCTTGGTAAAAAAAATATGAATGAACTCCGTAAGAACACTTTTTGACCAGCCGAGCGAACGGTTTAATGATTTGATTTGATTTGATTTTGGTAACAAAACACTGACCAAGGATATGGAAGGATATGTAATTTAATTTTTAAATAAGTTTTTCACTGGAAGCCACAAATGATGGCCCACATTGTCTGTGATATTTGTCTAAAGTGAGTGGAGGTAAGATAAAGTGAACCCATTGTTTGCCAGTCAGACAGACCATGGAATCATCACCTGGACAAGGTGACTGGAAACATTCTCGAGCATCCTCTAAAGAAGGGCGCCCATTGTCACCAGAGTCTTCCTTGACCTGGTGCTTGGCTCACCTCTCCAAACCAGGGGCTGAACATCAGGGAAATGGTAAGGCTGACTCAGGCAGTGGCAAAGATGTAGACAGGAGGTTCAGAGACTCTCAGTGGCGGGCCCTGGTTGCTATTCGAACACAGCACATCAAGGGTGACAAGGCGGGTATTGCTAGATTCAGAACTCAAGGGGGTCTCCGGCCCTTGCTGGACCTACTTAAACAACCAGAGTGCTCCAGAAAACCACTGGACCTGGCTCTGAGCATTCTGGCAAACTGTTGCACTGAGCTGGAGACACGCACAGAGGTGAGATAAAAAGAATAACAGAGGAGATATTGAACTGAGTGTTTATTAAATCACTCATTAAAACTGCTCATTTAAATATCTTGCACTATAGGTACGGAAGCTTGATGGAATCAATATTGTAGGTAGGTGCAGACTTACATTCTTATGAGGTCTTAGAATGATGACTTTTTAAACACATTGTTTGCAGTAATCTTTTTCACAACGAGTAATGAGTCATTTTGAGAAATTTCTTGACTGTCTCAGTGGAGATCCTAAAGAGAAATATGACATTGGAGACTGTCCAGAACCGAGCAGCCCGGGCTTTGGGAAACCTGGCCATGGATCCAGAGAGCTCAGCACTGATCCACTCTGCTGGTGAGTCTGAAGGGTTAGTGTTTCTCACTGCATAACATTTTTTTTTTTATTTTCATTTACATTCTGTATTTTGCATACAGGTGGTGTTCCTCTCCTCCTCCTCTGTGTGTCTCTTTCCTCTGCCCCATCTTCCCCCACTACTGCTTCACCCAAAGAGCCTTGTCCTAAACTGGAATGTGCTCAGTCGGCTGCTCGGGCTCTCCTCTACCTCTCAGATACACCCTCTAACCGCCTGTCACTGCTCACCCAAGGGACCTTATCTGCTGTTGCCCCTTTCATCGCTCCAGAATATCCCCATGGTCTGAGGCGAGTGGCACTCAGGACCCTCCACGAGCTGACCCGTGGCTGTGGTGTCGAATGTGCCAGGGAGGTGTCCCGTTCAGGGGTCCTTGCTCAGCTTGGTGTCATGGCGTCGGGGGAGTCTGGCAAACCTTTTCAAGAGCTGGCACTGAAAACTTTGGCCAACATGTGCTCCCAAGGGTGCCTGCGCCCTCTGGTGGGGTCACTGGGGGTCATTCCAAAGTTCACTGACGAAGTGAAGAGGGACCCACTGAAGTCTGGAGTCTTTCTCAAGGCGCTGTGCTTGTGCTGCAAGGAAGCCGTCAATCGGGCCAAGGTGAAGGAGAGTGATGGACTGGAGGTGCTAATTGGCTTTTTGTCTGCTCATCAGGCTCATCCTCTTTCCCGGCTAGCCATCCTGGCCTGTGTAGACTTTGTTTTTGATGAATCTGCCATGGAGCAGTTGCAGGAGTTAGGGCTGGTCCCTCTGCTTGTTGCACGACTAGTCAAGCTCACCAGAGGAGAGGACCAATTTGCTGAGAAGATGGATGTAAGCATCTCCTCCAGCATATCCCCCAATGAACTCCTGCCCTCATCGTGTTTTGATTCCTTTGACTTTCCTTCTCCTGAGGGCTCCAAGAAGGAGGAAGCTGGAAGGGAGCAAGGTCTATGCTCGTCCAGCTTTCTAAGTCTCAGGTATGGACAATCAAATAGAGTACACAGCTTTCTTTATGTATTATTCTACCAATCTCTGTGCATGTTTTTATTGCTCTCTCTCACTCTTCAGGTCCTGGTTGGTGTCTGAGGGATTGATCTCTTCTGAGGGGGACTTGCTGGATTCCTCTGGTGTTGACAGGGAATGGGGTAGTCTTCAGATCACGGCGTCTTCATCCCCTCAAACCTCACCCCCAAACCCCGATTCTAAATCTCTTAAAACTTCTTTTTCATCCAATTCTGCTGCCTCTTCTGTTTCTAAAAAGGCTGCTCAGCCTTCCCCTGTGTCCTCTTCAGCTCAGCCCCAGTTGTCATCTTCATGGAAAATCGCTGATCCCTCTAGTCCTCAGCCTTGCCATGCACTCATACCCCAAACCCAACCCATTTCCTCTAGTATCTCCTCTCCCACTAAAATGGCCCAGACTCCAGTATTTCCATCCAAGTTCTCATCCCCTCACCAAAGGAGGCAGCAGGCTTTTTCTTTTTTGACTAAGGTGACCATTGATACCCCTCCCTCTCTGCCCCGCCCGATGGCTTACCACCACCCTTACCACCCTGAACCCTGGACGCCTGAGTCTCCCATCCTGCTGCTGCTGTCACGTTTCTCCCACGCCACCGACCCAAGTGCTGCTCTGGTCAGTTCAGGCATCATGTCTGGCTTGCTCTACTACCTCACCCAGCACCGGGACCCCAGCAGCAGGTGCTTCCGTATGCTTTGCCGGTTGAGCTGCAACCCAAACTGTTTGCAGGCACTGGTTCGAACTGGCTCTGTAGCACTGATTCATCACCTTCTCTGCCAGAGAGAGGGAGGGTTTGAGGGAGAAGTGAGGCAGACTGGCAGAGTGAAAGCCAAAGTTAAACAACTTGGTAAGTTAAACATTTTCAATCAGAAAATGAAAAAATGAAACATTTTAATATGTGTTCAGTAAGTGCATAGGCACTAAATGACATGTAGAACACAGAAAAGACTCTTTAGGGATGATCCTATTCAGCTTTTCCTGTTCTGATACATAAACGCAGGGTATCTGTCCAAGTGAGAACAAAGTTTTCATACATATTTACTGTATACTTGACTGCGTGGAAATTGTTACAGCTGTTTTTATGTAAGACAAGCTGCTGCGCCACTAAAAACTCAGCTCACCGCCATGACTGCAACTGATAGTGGAAACACTGAGTTCTATACTGACCTTGAGAAATAAACTGTATTTAAAATGGATCAGTCACACAGCTACTCGATGCAATGAAAATAAGGTCACTACCGGGCTGTGCATCCCTACTTCTGACAATCATGATGCTCAAGAACTAGCTCTTATGTAACTGAACACAATATTTTTGTTTTATACAAAGGCATTTAATACGTAATTGTGTCCTGACTATGTTTGTAGGTGTTGCACTTCTCAATAATCTGCGTGTCCAGTGTGAGTCTGGTTTTGGCTCCGGGGTTCTCACCCATGTGATGCTGTCAGGCTCCGAGTCAGACAAGATGAATTGTGCACTATCTTTGCCGTTAATCAGCAGGTGAGTACTAGATGAGTGTAGAAATCATGACAATTAATCAAAAAAATTCTTGGATAAAATTCATTTTTATGTCTTCAATTTACATTTGACATTTTCTGCCATTCCTGTGAGAGAGCCCGATAAAACAAACATTTCCAGAAATATTTACATGGTATTTAGAGGATTATTTGTATTTGTTTATGTCTTTACAAAGGTAGTCTCAGATTTCCATTGATGAAATGTGCACACACTTGATATATACAGTGGCTTCAGAAAGTATTCAGACCTCTTCACTTTTTGCAGACTTCATTGTGTCGTAGGTTTAATTATCTCCTACTGCTCTTTCTAGGCTGGTTGCTAGTTGTAAGGCTGCAAATGGTATTTTTGAACGATTTTCCGCTAAAATTGTTAAAGATCTATGGACACTTTTTGAGCCTGTTGTATTAAAGATACTAAACTTGTCTTTAGTTATGGGTATTGTTCCTTTGAGTTTTAAAGCTGCTGTTATCAAGCCTGACTTAAAGAAACCTCATCTTGATAAGGAGCTTTTAAGTAGTTATCGGCCTATCTCTAATTCCCTTTTCTAAAGTGCTGGAGAAAGTTGTTTGTTCACAGCTATCAGCACATTTGCCCAGCAAATGTTTCAATCTGCATTGTGTGCTTTCCATTCTACTGAGACTGCACTGAGAATGTCTTTAAAGGTCAAAGTGTTCATTTGTCATATGCACAGTTAGGAAACGTGCTTCCCTGTACAATGAAATGCTTACTTTGCCTTCAAAATACAAGTGAAATATAAAGTAGATGAGCAATAACACAAATCTAAATAGGCAGTAACACAAATCTAAGGCACTTTAAAGCAGTAAGTGAAAGAAGCACAACAAAAACACAACAAGAACACAATATAATGTAAAGAGAATATATGCTACGTGGGAGCCGTGAAGTGCAAATAGCACTATAGAATACAATACAATAGAAGTGCAATAGCAGTCATATTGGTGAATATGGACTCATAACAAACATCTGTATTATTTGCTCTTGATTTGAGTGCTGCTTTTGATACTATTGACCATTCCATTCTTTTTGATTGATTGGAAAAGACTTTTGGAGTTAACAGTTTTCCATTATGCTGGCTGAGGTCATACCTAACTAACTGGATGCAGTGTGTTTTATATAATAACACAGTTTTGACATCCTCTAAACTGAAATATGGAGTTCCCCAAGGGTCAGTTCTTGGACCTCTGCTCTTTTCCATTTACATATATCCTGTTGGTATTATAAATCACTTTGGTTTAAACTTTCACTGTTATGCCAACGACATACAGTTATATGTTTCAGTAAGTTTGGGTGACTCCTCATCAATGGCTAAGCTAGAAAATTGTCTCTCTGCTATAAAAAACTGGATTTCTGCAAATTTTTTTGTATTTGAATCCTGACAAAACTCAGCAGTTGCTGATAGGTCCACCATACTCCAGTTCATGTTTTCAGCATCTAAAACACTGCATGTCAGGACAAAAAAGACAGTTTTATCCATTTAAAATTAAACCCACAACACAAACTCTACAAAAAGTGAAGGTTTCTGAATACATATATTGAAGCCAATGTATGAGCCTTATCAAGCTTCTTTTTTCCCAACAGCAACAAGTCCCTGTTGAAGAAACTTCTTCTGGATAGCGGAGGGCTGCTCTTGGCTCTGCAGCCACTTGTCTGTAATGACAATGATGTGGATGAAGATAACCCCATGGAATGTGGAAGGTTGCTTTCTGACTTGTGTAATTCACCACATTCAGGCCTGATCACTCAGCTCCACTCACTGTACTTCTCTCTCCTGATTGAATGCCTGTCCACCCTGACACGTAGCGTTAAAACTGAGCTCGACAAGAAACATGTACATCCAGTTGCAACACAGTCAGTCAGTAAAACTGGCAGAGTTTCGCCCCCTCCTTCAAAAAAGCCCCGCCTAGTTGACCTCTGTCCTTACAGTGTCTCAGACTTTGATCTTGTTTTGCTGCTGGACAACGGGACTCAGGTCCCAGCTAACAGAGAGGCTGTGGCCGGGGTGGAGGGAACACACAAAGTCGCCTCTGAATACTTCAGGGCTCTGTTGAGAGGCAGATTTGTAGAAGCTCAGGGTAAATCAGAAGAGGCCATCCACATCAAAGATGTTAGCACAGGAATGCTGCTACCAGTACTGCATTATCTGCATGGGTGTCGCTTCACAGATGGAGAGCATAAAGGACAGTGTCACATTTTAAATACCTTGGTCCTTGAAGGACTGAGTATCTGCCAACAGGAGATGGAGGAACATTCATCAGAAGACTTAACTTTCCAAAAAACATCTTTAGGCCAGATGATGATTGGAGCCTGCAGATTTTTGGTGACTGAGCTGCAGAGAGAGCTGGAGGATCTCTGTGTGTCTCTTCTCCTGTCCTGCACCATCAAGGCTGCTAGTCGAGCTGCATCAGCTCCCATAGAGGACGATGCTGAAAAGGCTGCATCTAAAACAGACCAAGAATGCCTCGAGTCCGCTGAGGAGGCCCTGGCTAATCCAACATCTGAGCTTGACCTGACTGGTTCCAAAATGCAAACAGAAAATTCACCAGGACAGATGAAGAAACCAAACAGGTCCTTAACACAAACAGATAATAAGAAATCCTGTTTGGCCGGAAGAGTTCAAAAGTCCAACAGAGGACTTAATACAGCTTTGGGCCAGAAGACAATCAAAAGTGCCACTCCAGTTTCCAAACTGAGATGTGCTTCAGTGGTGGACAAATCACTCAATTCAGAAGAGTTGACATTAAGACCAAAGAGGTTGATAAAAAGTTATTCACAGCTGAAATCAGCAAAGCTATGTCAGTCAGAAGCTGGTGCCAGAGGTGGGGCCCTGGCTGCTCTCCTCCCACAGGTATACTGGTTTTCCCAGCACTACGGCTACCCAGCGCTGGGTCGGGCCTGCCTGGCTCTGCTGCTGGGCTGTCAGGACTGTTCTCAGCCCTTCTCATCCTTCTCCCTTGCTGGTGATTGCCTTCACAGACTAGCCAGAGAGGCTGACTGTACAGAGACTCTGAAACGGGACCTGCTAAGTCTGGCCACAATAGCTTTGAGCTGAGATAGGAAGTATTGAGTGGGGAGTCCAATGACATGAAGTCAGAGGGCACAATTAAGTGAGAATTATCTAAGCTTCTAGAAGAGTTGCCATTAATTTTATAACCTGCCCTTGTACTATCAAGTGGACAGTACAGGTGCAGAGTAATCTCTGATGAATTTCCTGAGCACTAACAGAACTGACTTCTGATTGTTTATTGTCATAATTTGGATGCACAATTTTTTTTTAGCATGGATGTAAATTGACATGAACTGCCACAGCATGGCATCATTTTGTTATAATTTACCTTTGTTGGATTAACTTGACATTTGTAATTTTAATTTTAACATTTTCTTAATTTGGGGAAAAAGGCTAAGCAGTTGTTTATAATTGATGTGTCATTTATCTAGAAGTACTGGGATTATCAGAGTTTATTTTGTACATAGAAATAATATGGCCTGTATACGGTGTATAGGTTTCACTTGTTCCATATGAATTTCTGTCACTGAATATATTGCTTGAACATCACTTTGCCTTTGTTTTTTTGTTTCTTGAGACTTGGTGTACAGAATGGACACAGCAATTTGACTGAGTGGTCTAAGATGATGTATGTTGCTTATATCATTTCAATTACACAACAAAGAGTGAAACAGCTATTGGATTTGTTGTTATAAAATTTGGTGGGTACTCATCATCTCCAGACCAAAACCATCTCTCAGTACTGTCCAGCGTTCCATATTTATTTGTGGCTGTCAGCACCACTGATTCCCACTGAAAATGCAAACCTTTAATTTGTTTGCTTTATATTTTTTTGTGCAACAGTCGAGCTGAGTGGCACAGAGGAATTTCCTATAGCGGGTTTGGGTTAACAAAATATTACCAGACTTGCTCATTTAAGCCTGTGTGCAAGATTTGAGTTTGTAGCTTAGCGCCCCTTAGTGGCAGCTTCTATTAATACACCACGAGAGACTGCAACACTTGAAATACTGTAGCTCAGTATGGTCGAACGGAAAAGAGACGTAAAACCACTCTTGTCTGAAAAACTTTTGATATAAAATTTGAACACTGCATAAATGTAGCAGTACTTTAGATGTATAAAAAAAGACTCATTGTAATCCAGCACAAAGTCGTTTTTATTCCTGTCTGTGTGCACCACTTGGACCCTCTGCTCAGTAGCCCATAATCAACCCATGTATATTGAAGCAAAACAGCTGATAAATGCGTGTGATCCCCTCAGTGATGGGAGCTCTCATAGCCATCAGGCAAAGGATTGGTGTGAGGATTGTGGAACAGGGTGTGGTTTCCATCGCCCCAGGGAAATTTCTGGAACGAAACACACCAACATATTGGAATGAGGCACATCAGCATATTAGTAAAGCCTGCATAAGTGTGGTAAAGCACATTTATCCCACACTAATCATAAAGGTATAGGAGTGTAAGCAAGACTCACCTTGGTGCGGATACGCAGGTGAGTGTAAGGCACAAACTCTGGTTGTTCATGCGAGTGTGCCTTCATCTTCAGGAAGGCATTGGCCATGCAGACACCGACACCCGGTAAGGCCAAAATAAAGGTCAGTATTTTCCACGTCTTTGCTGCAGAAAACACAACAAATTAAAGTGACTGAATCAAAGAATGGGAGCAATGCTGAAACAAATTATAGGCTGTGGTGCGCCTTATCTAGCCTCCATATCAATAATAAAGCGCACTTCCTGATTCGTTAACGAGCGTGACTGCCAGCTCTGCAGGCATTTTCGTTACTGTTCAGCTGTTGCACGCGGAAGCATTGAATCTGGTTGCTTGTATACATTTTGGTTGTATTTGGCTGGATAGGTCGGTAAAGATGCACTGACCTCCCCCTTCATGGCTTGAAGCAGCGGCAGCAGCAAACACCCGACGCGCGGCCAAGGTGGCTGGAGACAGAGACATCTGTAGAGGTCGAGAAGAAAGAAAGTTTGATAAAACATCTGCACAGGAAGTATAGAAACGGTTAGAAATATCCCACCTGAATACACATACCAACGTGTGGATCGTGACAAGTCTGACAATGCGTTGTAATGGGCATGTCCAAGTAGAATGACCCAGCTTTGCTTATATGTAGCCTAGTTTCATGTCAAGTGCACCTAAGCTTTACACTGAGCCAGAAACCAACAAATCAACACTAAAATAAATCAAATCTAAACAAAAGAGAACTTCTACATAAATCAGTGTAAAATCCTATACATTTATGATTATTAGCAGAAACGATCCTTTACATGTCCCCTTACAAAACAAACAACTATCTGCAACAGGGCTGAGGTCAGGCCTACTAGTGTTGCTGTCTGTCACGAGTGCTGGTAGCTCTCCTGTAGCTACAGAATTATAAAATCAGGTGAAAACCTACTGTTCCTCAGGCAGGCAGGCAGTACCAATACTGTATAGTATATTATCCTCTTATTCTTCTGTAGAGTCTTCTTCCTGCTTGTTTGTCCTTCAGTCTGTCCTGAACTAACTTCAATGTGTCAGACTCCTCCCCACTGCAGTTTGTCCCTGTGCCAAGAAGCTTAGTTTATATTTGGGCAAGTGCAAAGGCTGGCTAATATGTGACAGAGAGGGCAGAGGAGGAGGTGTGTTGGTGCATTACTGACTAATGACTGAAATCAGCACAGGAGGCTGATCAATCCTCATTGATGGCTCCTGAGGTAAATCTAACACACCCATTATCAATTTTATTAACTGTAGCCAGTTTCTTAAATCATATTATTGTCAACCTGGCATATTTTTACCTTTCTATGGTTTGTAATCTTAAAAAGCAGCAAACTCACAGGCGTGGTACTAACTGCTAAATACTAAGTGGTGTACTGAAAAGCAGCAAAATAAACCAGCACACAATTAGCAGTTAGTCACACAAACATACCTTTATCTTGATGTTTATTTTCTCATCCTTTGTCTTCTTCTTTTATCTGCTCCAAAGAAATTTCCTTTGTTGTGATATTACTTTTTTTTGCTTTTTTTCATGTAACCTACCATTAGGATCTGATAGACTGTACTTGCATCAAAATGCAGCTGTTGGCCATTACAGTGCACATATGCACAAACAAGCTCTCCTGTTGGACATTTCGAATGCTCTTGGGACCCCTCTGGTGGCTATGGGAGCCCTAAGCAGGCACCTAGTTCACTAATGCCTTGGGCCAGCTCTGTGTAGGCCACAGCTGATCTGTCTTGACTTTAGATTACATTAACACTGGTATCCTGAGGTGAAATTTTTAAATCATGGAGTCCCAAACCTGTAAAGAAAAACTGGAGTGCCCACCAGATGCAGTAGTGCTGAAATGAACTCTTGAAATACCCCTTTAAGACTCCTGTTCTCTGGTCTTTGTGTTAAAGTGCCCATGACTGCTCATTTTGCTTGTTTCCAGCCATTTAATGTTTAATCTTGGGTACCTCTAGATTATCTTGGCACCCGTCATAACTCCAAATAGTTTGTAATTGTTTCAAAACCAGAGAGCCAGAAAGTCTCTTCCTTCAAACGAGAGGACAGTTTGTGAATGCACACAACTCTTGCAGCCGGTGTTGTGTCGAAAGCGAACAGCACAACAAACCGCGACGCATGTATTAGTATGAATTTCTCCTCCATAGATTGGTAAACAGCGGTATATGTGTAAAACTCTAAACAAAGCAGGTAATTGAGAAACCCCATATTTTAAGTGGCATAAAGCAAACATAGTAACATCTCCAGCCTTACAACAATTCTCTGTAACGTTACAGAAACAAGGCATTAACAGACACAGAACATGTTTTTTTTTTTTTTTAACTTGCCGTTAAGTCCCACCGAGTAGTAGAAACATCACTCCCTCTCATGTAGCTCCAAGGTTGGTAAATCCAACCGGTGGTCGCTGGTTCACCAGTTTAACCTTTAATATCAAAATTGGGTCATACTATACATTTGGATTTTGGTTGATTTACCCGCACACAGGCTGGAGTGTTAACTCTGAAAGCGTTTTTGGAACTTTAAAAGATGAAAAAAATGTAATGATATTCAAAAGTAATATTTTTATGCAGTTTCTTTGAAATATTATTTCAAAAGGCTGTGCCTCAAGTTAGAATTCATTATTTATGGCCCTGCGCTCTCCCTTTGAGTCTTAATTCTTGATTTTTCTGCTATAACTTTAGTAACGCCTTTGTTGTCTCAGTCTGGGCAGCTTTGGGCTGCAGTGCAAACAGCAGCAGGAGCCAGCTGTGATGTCAGCCAGTCATGCAAGCAGCCGGTCTGAGCGCATAACACTTGTGTTATTGTGGGCAGATGTTCACCACCAGCTCCATCTGAGGACTCAGCGTGCAGACACATACATAGGTGCAATAAGCTTGTGCTGCCACCAACACTTCAGTCCGCTGAACAGTCAAGAGTGTTGTTTCGGTCATGGCACCATTGTCTGCATTTGTGAGGTGGAAACTCCCTTTTAACATGTCATTGTGCAAAAACTCAATTAGAATGAAAACAGAAAAAAACATTTTGCAATACAGGGGCATTTAAAATAATTACAGCGTAGACTAATGTAGAAACACATTACGATGTATAATACATACTGTATTTTTGCAGTCATTTAATTATGAAGAGTCATTTTAATTTACTGTTTAGCCAATTACTAATACTTTTAAATAAACATGCAAATGAAGTCTCCTGGGTCCTGACCTTTTTTTGCTTGTGCCCCCCTTATACAAAACACTGTTGCTTCACCTAACCTCTGACCCAACCTGTAATCCTTTGTCACAGGGTACACGAATCAGAAGGAGTTTAATTTTAGAGTGACTTTAGAGACAAACTTATGTTTTTCTTTATTTTTCTGCTGTGATTAGTGGATGTCGATCATAAAACATCCACCCATCATAACATTCATGTAAGCAGGACCCAGCTTTTCCCTCAGCATCTCTCTGTTGTTGAACATGACAGACAGCCGCTCACAGAATTAACTGATTCTACAGGATTTTCTATGTGTAACTGATGAACAAGCGCGACTCCGTCAGTGGCTGTGGGGTCTGTAGATGCACAGCAGCCAGAGGAAACAGTGTAGACTTGACACAGCAAAGTGCACAGGAGTGATGGCTAAATAAATATGTGGATAAACTGTGACTTCCAACATCATGAAGTCAATATACATTTGCATTTTCTGTTCATATTTGCATTTCATGACTCTTCTCTTACAATCAGTTTGTTTAAATTATCATAAAATAAGGGTAAACTGTGATTTACAATTTAACAGAAAGTGTGAACTGAGTTCAGTGGTGTTTATCCTCCATAATGTCCTCTAACACCCACACACCCCAGTCTGTGTATGTTTCATGCCAAGAGAAAGACAGCTGTGGATTGTGTGCAATGCAGTAAGTGTCTGTGATGTTGGATAAGGGTGAAAGCAGCCTGCGTCAGTTGTAACAGTACTGTCTCTTTCCTTGTAAATCTCTGTGGCTTTGTCTCTGCTGGGCTCATATTGTATTCCTGCATTCACCTCAGAGCAGCCAAAATCTAAACTCTTCATTCATACTGTGTTTGGACAGAGACTTTATAGCATAGAAACATGGTTTCAAATGCTACCAGTTCTATTATTCAGTCTACCTTCAGTTTTGGAAAAGTGAAGAGTACTGAGGTGTTAATGTGTGATGGACAGTGGCTATGCTTTGTCTAGACATAACATCATAGAAAATTATTTGAAAACTCACATTGGAAATAACACAGACAGGTTAGATTTGTGGCCCAGATGCGAATGTGGGAGGAAGACAGATGTGCTATCATAATTTGAAGCTGGATTTGAAAGTGAAGAAAGTTGATTTGATGTGTGTTGGAATACAGCAGGACAGATGATTATGATATGGAATATGAAAACTTAAAGAGCTCATGGCATGTTCATTTCCAGCCGTTTAATGTTTAATCTTGGGTAAAACATTGTCAGATTATTTGTCAAAAAACATTGACAAATAAGTTATGTTTTCGACAATGACAATACCTCAAACCGTGAATTGTTTGTGAATTGTTTTTTTTTTTTTTTTTTTTTTTTACTTACTGTTAAATCCCACTGAGTAGTGGAAACATTGCTCCCTTTCATGTAGCTCCAAGGTCAGTAAATCCAACCAGTGGCTGTTGTGTCTTCCCCCACACGACCACATACAGTCCCAAAGTAGTGAAATTAATTCCAACAGGTAGTGTAGCACCGATAATAACATCATGGATCGTTAATCCGCTGGTTAACCAGCAACACATCACATGCTGCTGACAGACTTGCCTCAAGCAGTCAAAACAAACAGGTACTGTGCTCTGGGGGAATCCAGTGTTGATGAGCTGATCACTAACCATCATGGGGGCTTCACAGGCTGGCTGCTTGTAGGTTTGACCTGGTCAGGTAAAACAACGAGTCCCTGTATAGGAACATTCCTGGACATGCAGTAACCTCAGGCCCAGTTTTTCTCCACATCCTCTGGTCACAGTGCAGCAGCAGGATGTAAAATATATCCACGAAACCATGTGCATTCGAAAAATTCCGCTTTTACAATGGCACTAGTGGATGTCAGGCAAGCTCACGTGAACGCGCAACTGCCTGGAGAGTATGACCATTCAAAGAAGTCTGTAAATTGTCACATAAGACTTTATATTGTTAGAAAAAAGTCTTGTGAGTGAGAGTTTCCGAGACATGTATAAACTGAGTTGCTTCTTCTGTATAGAAGTGCTAGAACATATGTACACCTCATTTTTTGATCTTTAGTTCACGTCTAAGATGATAATTCACCGTTGTAACATTGTAGATAAGTCAGAAAACAAGGAAATGCATGTGACCTTTAAGTTTTTTTAAAGGTGCATTAACTAAGATTTTTACATGCTGTCTGATAAATGAAGTGAAAATGTGACATCTGGATGTGCCTCTCTGCTATCCTGCTATTTTAATTTGAGCTGTTGTCAGCATCTAACTATGCTAGCTGTACAAAACAAGACAGAAGAATAGGAGCTAAGCTGGTGAAGGAAATGACTTATTTCTGTAAGTGACTAATTATTTCTGTAATGGCCTGAGTATGACTGGGATCCTATGACCCTCTGTGTGCAGACACCTGAGAAAACCATGAGCAGTTTGAATCCACCATCAATATTATCCCAGTCGGACTGAGACAGCGGGGCGTTTGGAGTAGTGCAAGGGCTAGTGTTTCTCTACAGTGGAAAGTTCTGTACACTAGGTGGAATGAGAGCTCAGTGTCTGTTATTTGCAGAGTGGATGTTTACTTACAGTCTGACGCAGCAAGATGCTGACACATTTTATGTGACATCTTTGAGGTATTCCTAAATTGTCAAATCAACATGCAAGTGGAAATGCACAGTACCACTGACTGCTGGTAGTTGTGCATTAATAAATCTTCATGTGAAACCTTCCACCTCATGACAGTCTTGACTCCTGTTGACTAAAAAGTCAATGTTAGGTTCTGCCTGCGAGGTTATTTTGAATAATGGTAATATCCTGTCTCCCTGACTGAAGTAAATGTCATGTTCAAACTGTTTTGAATTTTGAATAATGGTAATATCCTGTCTCTTTGACTGAAGTAAATGTCATGTTC